TTCCAGATGGGGGCTGGGAGAGGGAGGGCAGGGCAGGCAAGGGAGCTCTAGACCCTCAAAGGACAGGAAGCATGTTTATGTTGCCAGGAGTGAAACTAAACAGCAAAAATCAACTTTTCCTCTTGGGCATAGTGCACTGGAATTAAGCCGCGTGGAGCCAGAAGGCGCTGAAGCAGCATCGGCCCAACCATCTAGCTTTATAATGAGGACGATGGGGCCCCAGAGGCTCAGGGACGCTCAGCTTACACGACTCCGAGCGAGTCCTGGCTACATCAAAGCTCAGGCTGGAGGCTGGCATGACTTGCTGACATTTTCTGAGTGTCCCCGGCCAGGCTCGGCACCGAGTGCCTTCAACCAACCATTCCACTGAACTCTCACGTCAACCCTCTCAGGTAGGATCCCGTCAGGGTACCTCCCCAGGTAACAGAGGAGGAAAGAGGCCCACCTCGAAGAGCTGGGCTTACACACAGGCTGAAGGGCAGCCAGATGGGGCCCTTTAAGGCTGAAGATAATAAGGACCACAGCTTAGGTCTGTAATCCTGTAACCTATTTACATCCACATCACCGCACTGGAGCCTCCCAACAGCCCAGCCAATGCAGGCTGGGCAGGCACTATTTTCCTCACGTGATGGGAAGAAAACCAAGTCCCGGAGGAGGAGTGACCGGTCCACAACAGAACGGGATTCAGGGCCCTGCCCAAGATGGTACCAGCCTCCCAAGGACTGGCTGGGAAGAGGGGCACGGAGGAGAGGGAGGAGCCATGCCTTTCAGCCCCCACAGGCCACTCTGTCTGCCTGGAGTTGAGGCAGCCCATCCCTGGGCTGAGCAAACTGAGCTGGTCCTGGGCCCTGCACCTGCCCCATCAGGGCTCTTGTGTACCTCTCCTGCTTCCTTTGATTCCTGCCTGGGGAAGAATCCTGTCTTGGCCGGCACTCCATCTTCTGCCCATCCTTGCTGTGCCCCACGCCCCTGGAGCAGGGAGGGAAGGCCTCTTGGAGGGCGGGAAGACCTGCCCTCCTGGCTGCTACTCCTGTGTCCCTCTCTCACTGCCCAGGGGACATGGAGCTAATAAATCTGGGGACATGAGCTCCATACTGCAGGAGGCCAGGCTGGCTCCTTGCACATCCCAGGAACAGCTTCTGCCAGCTGTTGCCCAAATGCTGGCCATGGGCCACCAGGATGGAATAGGTAAGAGAATGTGGACGGGCCGATACAAGACTTTTCCACTATCAGAACAGCAGCCCAGTGGTTATGTTTGGGGTGGGCGCAATTCAGGAGAGACAGTTGAACCCACCCCCAACCCCCGCCGCCTCAGAGCAGCACTCCACTTCCTTGCACATCACACCCCCACCACTGCATTCCAGTCACAGGGCCTTTGCACATGCCATTCCCTCTTTCTCCAATGTGCTTCTCTCCATTCGCTTACCTGTTAATGCCTACTCAATCGCCACTTCCTCAGGGAAGGCTTCCCTGACCCCAGTCAAGGTCAGATGCCCTGTTACCGGTTTTCATAGCTCCCTGATCTCTCCATCACAGCAAGTAACGCTTAATGTAAAGATTCACTTCTTAGTACTAACATCAGGCTTTCCCAAGAGACTATAAACTTCATAAGGGCAAGACTCACATCACCATTGTATCCTCAGGGCCATGTGCCTGACACAGTGGTGGGTATTCAAAAAAACATTTGTTGAACGTTCAGATTGCTCTCCTCCTGTCCAGCAGCACCCACAAACCCCACCAGGCCCCAGGTAGCCATCGGCCAGGCTACAGGGCTGCCCGAAGCCCAGCAGAATCCTAGGAAGTTACCCCACAGCCTTCCCACCAAAACCCTATTATCAGGTCAGGAGGCAGGATTGGAAGGAGAGAATCAGAGCAGCCTGGGGATATGAGAGGGAAAGAAACCATACAACCTAGAGGATGGGGAGCCACCAGCATCATACAGGAAGCTGCACACGCACACACATGCGCACGTGTTATATACGCGTATCTGAGTGCATGTAGTTGCACACACACATAAAGGCACAGACACAAGGGCATGCCTGTGTGCGTGCACGCAAACACACACACACACACCACAAGCAAACATACGCGGGTAAATGTGCCCCTACGCACCCCTCCCCTATGCGGTCACCCTTCAGAGTTGGGGCTCAAGGTCAAGTCCTTGACCGCTACATCCCCGCTCTTTCCCCTCCACCAGTGCAAACTCATTTGTCTATAACTGGGGGCTGTAAGGGCCTCAAAACCCGGGCTGAGGAAGGTCTGGGGAGCAGGGAGGTGAGAAGGGATGCCATCCCAGCTGGGATGCCCAGGTTGCAGGCGACGGCCCCCTCCTGTTCCGGCTTTCCCAGCTCCCTGGTGAACTGCTGCCTTCCCCCAGGACAGGTGATGAGGCCCTGCCATGGCGTGGGGTGGGGTGGGGAGGCCCCTTGCAGCAGGCTCTGCCCTGGCCTTCGGTGCAAACTGAAACATCTTCCTTTTCTTCATAATTATTTTTTCTGACACAACTGCCCATGAAACGTTTTAATAACATCCCAGAAAAGGTCAGGGAGAAGGAATTTCACAGTCCCTGAGCAGATAGCTATAATTTCAGCCCCTCCTGGAGCAAAGGAGGTAGAGAGACTGGGCTAACCCTGGGTCTGAGTGGAGAAGGGCAGCGTGGGAGAGGCCAGGGCAGTGGGTGTGGCAGGTGTGGCCGTGAAACTTGCCCCCTGCTAGGAGCTCTGGAAGTACCTTGGGGAGACTGGGAGATGACGGTGAGTGGGGGTCACCAGGGGATGCTTTCACATCTGTCATTCACACCTAGCACCCTTGGTGGTGGCGGGAGTAGTGGGGGGAACTCATGCCCATTCTGCGGATGGGAAATGAAGATTCTTAGAGGTAATACAGTTAGACCAGCACACAGAGAAGGCAGAGATGCAGGGCCCACTGTTTCACTTCAGGACCTGAGCTCCTTCAGACACATAGCCCTGCTGCTAGAGCTTATTATTGGGTCAAACAGCCCCTTCAGAGCTGCACAATTCCACAACTGTGCAGACACAATCGAGGAACTAGACACACTGAGTGGACAGACACACTGAGGAACTAGAGGCTGCCCAGATGAGCCAGCCCTGGACAGAGACCCTCAGGTAGCCACAGAGGAGGCTGAACACATCTGCTAAACATTGGGAGAGGGACTGGAAAAGGGGTCATAGGCAGCGGGCCGGGGTCCACGCAGGCCCAGGAACTGCTCCAGTGCTTGAGGAAACCCAGCTCGAGAAGCTACTCTCCAGCGCCAACCCCAGATGGGATTGGGCTTCACACATCGTCCTTGGCACCTGCAGCCAGCCATCAACGAAGAGGTGTGACATTCCACACTTCACCCCCCCCACACCCCACCCTAGGCTCCCCTCAACCCTTGCCAGGGCCACAGGAACTGGGGACTGCAAAGTGAGACCCTCCATCCCCAGCAAGAACGACACGAAGGAATCGCCAGCCACCCGCCAAGCCTGGGCTTAACATCCGAATTCTTTGCCACGTGGCTCCAGGCCCTGTGGGGGACAGGCTGCTTGGGTGTCCTTCATCCTGACAGTGGAAGGTGGCTGGGGGGCCGAAGAGGTTCTCTTTGGGTCCAGAGGCCAGAACCTCTGGCACTTGCTCTGTGGCTGGGCCCCTAGAGGCTGCAGGAGGGCCCAAGGGGCCTCAGGCACCAGGTGACTGATTGCAATGAGCAACTTGGTGAAAGCTGGCAGAGCCACGGGCTGGGGAAGCAGGTGGGAGGAAAACAGCCGCAGCAGACTTACTGTTTACATCTGATGGCCTGCCTACCCAAACATCTGTTTGAAATATTAATAACTGTCAGATGGGAAGGGCCTGGGGCTCAAAACAGTTTCATACCATCTTTCTGTAGAGTAAACGCACTACGGAGTAGGGGCCTGAGATCGGCGGGCAGTCTGTGCTTGGAGTGAGAATGGAGCAAGAAGTGGAAGGACTCTGGGGGCCTCAGTGGGCAGGGAGGGGCAGCAGCGAGGTAAACTCCGTAACGTTTATTGAGCACCTACTATGGGCAAGCCCCTGAGCTTGCGTAGCACACATCTACCACTTTGGTCTGCTCAGCAACCCTCTTTGTTCTGAGACTAGAAGCCGCTATAGAATATCCTGTCCCATTTTTAGCCCATATAATTTGAATGGAGTTGACCCAATGCCCCGTTCCACTAGGGGAGTATGACCCACCTCTGGTATATCAGAATTATGATGATTGGTTCCAGGGTGGCCCAAAAGCTGGGTCAATGAGAATCAGCCCTGGGACTTCTGCTGGAACTACTGAAAAAGAATAGTTTTCCCCCACTGGGGCTGATAAATTGGTGAGAAGTGAGCCTAAGGGTGCTGGTGTCCCTCTCTGCCAATACAAAAAAGCAGAGCCCAGTGCTGAAGTCAGACTCCTGCTCAGCTGAGTGCCTGGATACAGCCATGCCTGAAATCACTTACACTTTTGAGTTACATGAGCCAATCCTTTTTGGCTTGAGCCACTTAAGGGTTTCTGTCCCTTGTGACCACGAGTACTAACGGATACAAATGGACACTGGCAGGAGTCCCCTGTCAAAGTCCCAGCCAAAGACAGCTGGCGATGTCCATGTATCTTCAAGGAGCCCTTTCTTCCCCGGCGTCTGTGCTCAGAGAGAGAGGATCACCTTCCTGAGAGATGGTTGGCACTTGTCCCCATTAGAGGGCAGGTCCAGGGCTCCTGGCCCATCCAGGCTCAGTATCTCTCAGGGACAAGGCAGAAAACCAAAGTATCCTGGGCCCAACCTCATTCTTCCCCAGGTTGGTCCCTTCTCCACAGTGCTGCCCTGGCCAAGGAAGCCCATCATGAAGAGTCCAGATGCCCCAGTATACTAACATCACAGCCTCTGAGGGCTTGGGGCACCCCGTTCCCTGACTGCTCAGACTCCCTGGATCCCTCTGGAAGCCTCCTGATGGTCCACCCCAGAGCTCAGCTGCCCTGCAGGACAGCGGGGACTCACCAGGACTGTCAGCACAGAGGTCCCCACGGTGACATTCTCGTATAGGCTGACGTTGTACAGTGGCTGGCTGAAGATGGGCCGGTTGTCATTCTCGTTGATGAGGGTGATCTTCACCTTGGCATAGCCCACGTGGTCAGGCACACTCTCATTGGCAAAGAGCTGGATGCGTAGAGCAGGGACCAGGTGAGCTCTCACATGCTGCTGGAGCCCTCGTTCCCGTAAGTCCCCCCGGGGCCTCTGCCCATTCCAACCCAGAGCACCAGTCTGAGTCATTGCCCATCCCAGATGTAGGCTACTGTGAATCCCTCCTTCAGTACTCATAGGGTTAGGCTGGCCACAGAATCTGCTGGGGAGGAAGGGGCTAACGGGGGCCGTGCTGGCTGATGCTGGGCAGTAGAGGCTCCTGATGGGCTTCTGAGGCTCTGACGGTACCTAATGAAATTCCACTCAATTCTTGGACATTTCCTCGTCCTCCTGGAAAAGAGGAGGCCCAGCCTAGCCCCTGCCATAGCTCAGTGGGCTTCTCTGGGTCATATCCACGAGGGAAGAATGGGAAGAGGTGGAAGGGGGGATTTAAGGGGACGGTGCCACCCCCCTCCCTCCCCTGAAATCCTGCACCCGGCCAAGGAGAGGGTGAGCAGGCCTTACGTCGAAGTCGTAACGGTCCACAGTCTCATAGTCCAGGGGGATGGCCACCCGGATGCGAATGTCCGCCTTCCCTTGGACGGAGGTGGGGGAGATGATGAAGTGGTGAGAGTTGTTCCCCACCAGGTACACCTCGAACATGCTGTTCAGGCCCTGGATCAAAATGGAGAAGAAACCAGTCAGAGCGGGCGCCGGGGCTGAAGCAGGGCTCGTCTACCCCCCACTCCAAAGTGGCCTGGCCTCCCCTGGCGGATCCTGGCCTGGCTCCCTGACCCTTCTGCCCATGTCCAGACCTTCTGGAAGTCTCCCCCAATTCTTTCTGCCTGCATCACCCCATCAGATGCCCACAATGTCCCTTGCAGAGGGTTTGGTTCATCTTCCATCTCCTGCTCCCTTCCTCTGCCCCAGTGGCCCCAACTGGAGAGGCGTTTGCCAGCTGCAAGCCCCGGCAGGGAGACACAGGAAAGAGGAGGAAAGAGGAGGAAAGAGGGTCAGCAGGGAGGGGAGACAAGCAAATAAGATCCACGGTTGGCTTGGACAGGGTAGGGCATGAGGGCCAGAGCAGGACGCTGCTTCTCCTCCGTCACCCCTCTGGACCACGTCAGTCAGGGGGACACTGCCTTGCCTACACGGGGCGTGGGAACCACGCAGACGGCTGAGTGGCAAAGTGAACCCCCATGTGCCCCTCGCTGTGACCAGCGTGGTGGCTGGGAGGACATGGAATCCCAGAGAGTGCAGAGACACCAGGACCTTCACTGGTTCTCCTACAGCCCAGCAGCCCGAGGCCATGGTTTCAGGTGGGGAGGCCTCACTCTAGGTCAGGTGTTTCTGATCATTCCAATCAGGGCCACAGCTCACGGGGCCCTCAGATGCCACCTGGCTTGTCCTCACACAAAACATGTGATCTCTCTCTGCATGCTACCCAAGTCTCCAGACGAGGAAGAGCTGCTGCTGAAGGTGGGAGCTACCTGGAGACCGGTCTGCCCTGAAAGTGATTCGACCTCCTGCATGGGGGGAAATTACCCCCAGACTAGCCCCCTCCAACCTAGGTGGGTGGCCTGTGATTTGGAACTAACCAGTCGAGAGCCTCTCCCGAGCCTTGCTGAGATGTTCAGTGGGTTACAGACCTGGGCTCTCAGCGCCAGGAGGACACGTCCTCCTGCTTGGCCCGCATGACCCTCCCTCAGCCCAGACCCCGGTACAGCCCCTCTGGGCACATGTTCCTGTGGAACCAGGGGCTGGCAGGGAGGCACGCCTCTCTTCGTGGTTGCCCAGGGATGTTGAGGGGCTTCCTCCCAGAGCCCATTCCTGCTGAGAGAGGGGCAGCCAGGCAACCTGGAAGCCTTTACACCATCAGAGAGGGCTGGTCCCGGCAAGGCTCAAAGGACACCCTCAGCGAAGCCTGAGATTCACAAGATTCTGATGCCCTTGCAGCTGCCCCTTAGGTGCTCAGATACATTTGTGAAATAAACGCATCTCACCCTCGGTCTCTGGAGGTTTTTCTACTTACAACTACAAATTGGCAAAATAAGGGCGCTGCCAATTTGGGGATACAGGCAAGCAGCGGGTCCTCCAGGGCCCCCAGCCCAGAGGGGACCCCGCAAATGGTGCAGGCAAGGCTCTTCCGGCCCTGTTGGGCTGTGGAGTTTCCAAGTCTCCCTGGCGTGGGATCCATCCATCAGACCGAGAGGACCAATTAAATGCCCGAAGGGGCAGTAATAGCCAAAGCCGGCAGCCTGTGACGGCCCTGAGCCGCTGACACCGACACCTCTCCCTCCCCTGGACCCTGGCCCCTCCACAGGGCCTGGGGCCCGAGAGGGTGGGCCGTCTGAGCTGTGCCCACAGCAGGTGGAGCAGGCCCCCCCCCACCGAAGCCCCCTCCCCACAGTGCCCCCCTGCCTCCCAGCCCCAGCCCTTCCCAGGCTCACTTACCAGGTTCTATCAGGGGAAGTCGGTCAGTCAAAGGGTATGGAGACAGAGAAGGAGCCGGGAAGGAGGAAGAAGGAACCAGAGAGAAAATGGTGAGAACCAAGGTCAGAGTAACAGAAAGGGGCCGAGCTGGACCCCAGGAGCACACCCAGCTCCAGAGGAACAGTCCCCTCTACATCTGCTGGGCCATATCCTCTGGGGTGCCGAGGAGGGGTGGGTGTGTGTGGGGTGTGCACACACGTGCTGGGGTGTGGGGAGGTCTGTGCAGCCCCACATCCCGAGGAGGGTGAGGGACACAGAAGAAGAGGTACAGGGGCACAAAGTGAGGCGGGCAGGGGTTCCTGTATCCCTGAGCTCCCTCTGTCCTCACCCAGAGGGAGGTGGGGATGGTCAAAGGCTGGGAGAGGAGGGGCCACGTCCCTCTGTCCTACTCCCAGGAGCCTGGACAGAACCCCTGCAGGAAACGACCCCAAGCATTGCTATGTTTTAATTTTCTTAACATAGAAAATGTTAACGACGTGATAAACAGACTCAGAAATTCTTCACATAGTTCATTCAAAAGTGTAAAGGGCACACAACCGACTCCCTTTCCCTGTTGCCCCTCCCTACCCTTTGAGAGCCTTCCCCGGAGACAACCATACCCCAATCCCCGGATCTCTTTCCCCAGAAAATCCATGCATGTAAGAGCATTGCGTATCTATGCCTCCCCTCTTCGACACAAACAGTAGCATGCTCTACACACTGCTGTGTTGGATTTTTTCCACTTAAAACTATGTCCCGAAACTTGTTTCACAATTGTTCAGATAGCTGATGATACGAACAACAATCACACAGCAAACATTCACTGGATGCCTACTCTTTGCCAGACACAGGTCAGAATAACCAGAGAATAACCTTCTGTAGCTGCTGTTGGGAGCCCCTGAGGTAGTGCAAAGCCACATCAGAGCAGGCACACAGGAGGTGCTCAGATGCGAAGGGGCTTCAGCCGCTTTTCCTCACCCGTTACTCCGTTCGATCCTCTTCCCATGGGCCACACGGTGCAGATGAAGGAATACTGGAGCTTGGAAACCCCTCCAGAGGAAACGGAATTCACAGAGGTTGGCGGCAGAGTGAGGATAAGAGCCCAGGCCCAGCTCCCAGGCCGGGGTGCCCTCCACACTGAGTGAAACAGAGTCAGGGTCTGATGTGGGCGTCCCCCAACTGCAGCTCCAGGGCACGGGGGGAATGTACTGAAGTTCCACCCAGCAATAGGAGTGAGCTGAGCAAACCAAGATGGCATCACTGAGCACTCCAAGGCCGAATCTGAGAGGACGCCAGCAGAGGAGGCTGCCCCAAGAGGAGTTGCTTTAGAAATGAAGGAAGGGAAAATGCACTCTGGGTGGAGGAAGTGGCTTTAAACACGAAGTTCTCGGGCCTTAGCGTGTATCAGAATCACCTGGAGGCTTGGTAAACTACCAATTGCCGTCCTCCCCCAGGAGTATCTGATTCGGTAGATCTGGGGTGGCCCTGTGAATTTGCATTTCTAACAAGTTCCAGGTGATGCGGATACCGCTGCTGGTCTGAGACCACCATTTGAGAACCACTGGCCTAAGCAAGGCACGCAGTGGAGAAGAAGAATTGATGATGAGGCAGACAAGTGAGCTGATTACAAAGGGTCCATGTACAGAAGCCGGGGAGGTTGTTGGGGTATTGGGAGGCTTTGCAGCTCTCCTGGAGTTCCTCTGCAGGCGCCATCTGGAGGGCTCCAGCATGACATTGCTTCCGTGAGCAGTAGGGAGCCACTCTAGGCTCTGGAGCACGGGAACACTGGGGTTAAAAAAGGAAGGTGAGGGTTCCCTGGTGGCACAGTGGTTGAGAGTCCGCCTGCCCATGCAGGGGACGTGGGTTCGAGCCCTAGGGGCCACATGTCGCAGAGCAACCAAGCCCGTGCGCCACAACTACTGAAGCCCACGCGCCTAGAGCCTGTGCTCCCCAACAAAATAAGCCGCAGCAATGAGAAGCCTGTGCATCACAACGAAAAATAGCCCCTGCTCGCCATAACTAGAGAAAGCCCGCGTGCAGCAACGAAGACCCAATGCATCCAAGAATAAATAAACTAATTAATTAAAAAAACAACCCACCTGGGGCGCTTTAAAATCCCCCCCATGCCTAGGCTGCACCCCAGACCAAGGAAATTAGACTTGGGGTGGAGGAGACGAGACATCAGGATTTTATAACGCTCTTCAGGTTACTCGTTCTAACGTGCACCCAAGGATGAGAACTACTCGGGGACAGCAGTGGCTCTCTGAGTGTTCTACAGGAACGGGTGGCATCACAGTCACCCAGGAACTTGTTAGAAATGCAGGTTTGGCGGTCACACTCAGGTTTACCATATCAGAAACCCTGGGGGTGGGCTCAGCACTGCTTTAACAAGCCCTCCAGGTGTTCTGATGCACGCTGAAGTTGGAGAATCACCGGGACCCAGCAAGGCTGGGGGTGAGGGAGTACGCAGGCAGAGGGACTGAGGGGACGCCTGGGAAGGTGGTGCAGGATGAGCGCCTGGCCAAGCCGGATCACTGGGTTTCCTACCTCCTCTCCACCCCAGGGCCTCCTGGCCCCTTCACATGAGATCTCTGGGTCTCAACAAGTGAGGTCAGCTCCCTTCTCGCTGATCTGCCGCCAGGGACTGGAAGTTCACTAGGCTCGACACTGTAGCTGTCAGGACCCCGCATATGGCTGTCCTGAGACCCCGGCTAAATTCCCTCAAATGCTCAGCCTGCCCCTTTCAGAACCTGCCCAGAGGGCTAATTCCCGCTGGGACTTGGCTTGTGACTGTTAATCCCTCGGGATGTGTGTGTGGGATTATTACCCAGTTCATTAAATTGGTGCAAAACCCCTATTAACTGCAGCCCTCAGCCCAGAGCCTTCTAAAACAGCAGCTTCCATTTACCAAGCCTCTACCGTGTGCTTCATACCTTAACCAAAATGTTCGCATCCCAGTGACGTCAGCATCAGTCCACCCTTTTTACAGAGAAGGAAACTGAGGCCAGAGAGGGTAACTTGTTCAAGATGCATAGCTGCCAGTGAAGGATTCAAACTCGGGTCGGTACTGACTCCTACAGAGTCCAAGCTCTTCATCACCTCTCTCCTGGCCTCCTGCGTGTCGCCCCCTCTACAGAACGCTGCTCCTCATGTGTGCAAAGAACTGCAAAGAACTGGCAACAGATGACACTGGAAGACCCTTCCTACCTTCGCTAAATGCCAGGAGCGAGGCCCAAGGGGCAAAGCGCGCCTCTGCCAAGATCAGGGAGCCAGGTGGAGGGGAGGGGAGCCCGGGCTGTAGGAGGGTGCGGCCCTGCTCCTCTGGGTCCTGTGTCCTCCACGCCCTTGCTCCTTGCAGCCCGTTCGGGGGGTGGGGAGAGGAGTGCGTGCTGCTTAGTGGGGCGGGGAGGGAGTGGGGAGAGGCAGGAGGCCCTCTTGGAGCTGTCGAGGGGCAATTTTGTTGGGAAAGGAGATAAAGAGGAACATCAAAAGGATCCCAGTGTGTGTGGAGAGGAGCCCAGTGGATTAAATTCTCTTCCAGCCAGGAGAGGCGATGAGAATGTTGATAGCTGGCAGCCGCGGGTCCCAGAGCCGAGCTGCAGCGCCGGCCCCTCCCCGCACCGGGCTGGGTGCCGGCTGGCTGCCCGTGGGGCTGCGACAGTTTGGCTTTCTTTATTTATTGGAGGGGAGGGACGCATGAAATCACTCCTCACTCTTCCCACCCCGTGCAGCGAGCTACGCTTTGCTCCTGCTGACTGAAGTCTTGGCACCGCCGTCCCCTACCCCGTGGAGGGCAGCACACCAGCCCACGGCCCAAGGTATAGGCCGCTGCCAGCAGGGGCTGCCTCCCCAGACTCGACTCCCCAAAGCTCCCCTCCCACTCCTGGAAGTGGAGGGGTGGCCTTGAGGGCGGTCAGAGCAGACCTTGCCCGGCAAGGACGTTCCTGCCTAGCATCTTTGCAGCTCCCACAGCCAATATTGGCTCCGTGATTGACCCAGTGTTGTTTTTCAACTATGTACTGAGAGGTTATTACGTGCTGGGTCCTCTACAACTGTTAGCTCACTGAGCGCTCACAACAACCCCGGCAGGGTCCCGGGTGGCGTTCACACTGGTTAACAGCTGCCATGTGCAGGGCCCTTCCCTCCTCTTGGGGAGCAGATTCCACCTGTCAGGCCATTAGGCTTGGAGGTGTCCTGGGTGCTCTCAGAGCCTGCACCTGACTTCTCGCTGGATGTGGCTTCCCCCAGTCATCCCCTGTGGCCTTGGGCCACTGTCACTTCCCTCTGCAGGTGACCTGGTCCCCAAAGGGAGGAAGGCCTGACGCAGCCCCCAGACTCCTTCCCTGGATGTGAGACCTGCAGGTGCGTTCCTCATCCTGCTGACTCCTGCCTGGTTCTCCCCACCCTGAGGCACCTCCCTGCTGAGGTGGCACCAGTTTGCCCCTTAGAGACGCTCATCTCCCTCCACTGTTGGTCAGGGTAGCGGGCGGGTTGGTGACCCAGTAGTGTAATACAGCGGAGAGGATGGGGTTCAGGGCTGGGAAACAGGCTCTGCTGCTTCCTAGCTGTGTGACCTTGGGCAACGCGCCTCCACTGCTGGAGCCTCAGTTTCTTCCTCTGTGAAGTGGGGAGAATAAAGCACACCCCACAGGACTAAGCAGCAGTGTTTTCTCTGCGTCACCAGGTTTTGGCGCATGACTTGTGGGTTATGTTTTCTTGCCTAAGACAGGAGGCTCCCTGATGGCAGGAGCCTTGTGTGTGTGTTTCCTTTGTACCCAAATGCTAGGGGACCCTCACCCCACCCTATGAACCACGATGTGCCCTGGAGGGGACCTTAATTCCTTTCAATAGACAAGGAAGGACCAGGGTCACGTGCATGTAGAGGGGACTAGGGACTCTGCAGTGTTGTGAACCAAGACGAAGAAGGCCCAGGGACCCCCAGAGGTACCCAGAGAGCTTTGTGGGCTGGTGGGACACCCTTAGCTCAA